TTAAGTGCATTATTATAAAAAATTAGGGTTAACCCAACAGCAAGAAAAAAGATTAGGTTAGTACTTTATTTCTTGTTTTTCATATTTATTCTTTATTTATTATTGTAAAAGTAACTAGAATTTAAAACTATGAATCTTTTTAAGTTATTTTAGACTAGATTAGGTAAAATAAGTAATAATAATAATATAATTAAAACGGTTCATGAGGCACACATGCGTGCAGCTCGTGGGTAATGTAATTCAATAGCGTAACGTGAGCTGCTCGTTCCCCGATTGATTTACAACTTATAATGGCATGTACAGTAATTAGACACTATTCAAAGGGCAATATAACAATAAAATTTAATTATAAATAGATGTATAATTTACGAACTAAGAGCTACTTACGATAAATGAATGTAGTTTCATATTACAATTTGAATTCATTCTAGAAAGAAAAAAGGTTAATGTTAATTTAGGTTGGGTTTTTTTTTTGTGTGTGTGTGGTAGTTACAAGGTCGGTCGAATTGACCAATCCCATTTTGAGATAGGGTAGAGAAAATAACAGAAACTTTCAAGTTTTACTGGAAAAAAAAAAACGTTTGAAATGTATTTAGGGGGTTTTAGGGATTACACAAAGGAAATTTGAGTTTTTTTTAGCTGAGGAAAAGTATTTTTAATTTTAAGATGAAAATTACTTTGCACACAGACTATTCAAAACAAATACTCAATATATTCATGGACAAATCTTGATTTTATTTTATAAAAATTCTTCACTAAGAAATATGAGTTTTTGTATGTGAAAGACTTGTAATATTAACTGAAAGACTGCCAAATTTCATGAAGATATACCCACTATATTGAGAGTTATAAGTATTAAAACTATAAAGACTTTAAACGAGTACAAAAACGTTGCATGGTCGGTCAAATTGACCAAGCCCATATTGAAAGTGTTAATATGTTTTAGTATCTTCAAGATATTTCACAAGCTTTCAGTAAACATTACAAGTCTTTTGTACACAAAAAATACAATTTCTCAATTAAGTATTTTTACTAAAAAATTTTATGTGAATATATGCAGCCAGAGTGTTGACTGCTCTGAGCAAAGTAATTTTCATTTTAAGATTAAAAATACTTTTCATCCGAAGGTTGTCAAATGTCATTTGCATAATCTTTAAAACTCTTAAATAAATTTCATATGTTTTTCTTCAGTAAAACTTTATATTTTACCTGTTATTGTCTCTATTTTAACTCCAAACACATTCAGTCAATTTGACTGACCTCATAACCACCATAAAAAAATAGGAAATAAATCTGAATTATCCTTTTATCTCTTTCTAGAATGATTTCAAATTGTAACAGGAAACTACAGTTGTTTATTCTAAATAGTTTAAAACTTGTAACAGAATATATGTTTCTACTTAAATTTTATTGTCTTATTGCCCTTTAAACTGTTCTAACTAATAATCTCATCACACAAATTTTAAATCACTCGGCAATCACATCTTACCTTATTGAATTATGTAACGCATGAGCTACTCACGAGCTTACTTTATGAATAATTTTTTTTTCTTAATCTTACCTAACATAACCTTATCTAGCCTAATAAAGTTCTAATTTTGTATTTTCAGTTACTCATATAATAATAAATAAAGCATACATATGAAAAACAAAATATGTAGTACTTACCTGGGTTGTCTTTTTTTCTTTTTTTTGTTGTTTAATATTTATGAAACTTATGGTTACTTTTATATACTAATGGTACTGCTACACTAAATGATTTTTTATTAAATTAAATGATACACCTAAGAACATAGGATGATAAATAACATGTAAAAAGCAAACAATGTCTTATAATTATCATAATTTCTTTGGCTTTCTAACTATGTGATAAGGGCCATTAAAAATCACTAAGCTTGTTGATGTGTTTCCCATGGGAATAAAATTTGAAGTGAAAGTGAAATAGACGATTTAGTGTGCAAAAAAACAATGTAGTATAATACATCATTTGATAGATTAAAACTTTGGTTATGAATAATATAGTATTAAACTTCAGAGAGAATTGTTAGTAATTTGTGAAAGAGAAGATGTGACAGGTAGGCATGACAAGTGGGTCTAATTTTCTAGTTTATGGATCTGTAAACAAATAAGATTGAAAGCTATAAAAGTATGCTTTGCCTGATAATAACTATATCATAATGAGTAACTTGTGTTAAATTCTGTACATCTAGAAGAGGTGGTAAATAAATTAGATTCTCATGCTCATATCATTCTCATACCATAGAAGATTGAAGATTTTTAAAATATTTCCTTAGTAATATTAAAATTTGATTTTAATTTACGAACTATTTTTCAATGCCAAGTCTATTAATGTACCATGATGATAAAGTGGTTTGATTAAATTTTGAATGTAATTTAAAAGGTCATGACATGCACACTTTGACCTGCCTGTAATGAGAGGATTAAACTGATAGATTAATATTTTCATAGACATACATAAGTACAAAACGTTTTGCATTTTGTACATGTATATTTAATTTGTACACTTGGAGAAGAAAAAAGTATCATTATGTAAACTTTTTTTTAATTTTGAATAGTGTTTTCAATTTCAACCTTCAAGCAATTAAAAAAAATTATTAGGTTTGTTCTGTCACAAATATAAATATGTATATACTGCTATGTAGGTCTGTTTTACTTTCTTGGATCCATTGTAAACTTCAGTCAAGATCCTGAGGTTCACTTCAAGTACATCCAGGTAAGTGATTGTATTTGTAATCCTTCCCAACTTGGTATTTCATTTTTAACAAGGGCAAATGATATCAGTAAGTTTCTGTCTGATCTCTTCCCTCAAAGCACCTACAAGTTTTTTTCAGATTTAGAATTTTTTTCCATACATAGTTTATTAGCATTTATTCTAGATAAAGTACTAAAAAACTTAAAATATCCAAACTGCTAACTCTGATTTTGATTTGTTCACCCTTCCTGATTGCAATTTTTATTTGAAGAGTATAATATCAGACTTACATCCCACTTACATAGATAAGATTTTATAACATGCCAAAACAAAGCTGCAAATCTGTTGTCTTTATTTGTTGCTTATTTCAAGCTCAGGTAGTTTGAATTTTTAAAGGTAGTGATGGAGGAAAACTATGAAATTTAACAAACTGTAGTGAAATAATTATTATATCATCTAAAAGCTGGAATTGTTTTCTTTGTTGCTGTCTATTTGCCATAGAACTCCCTTTCATAGTTTCTTCCTTTTGTGTATTGTAAATTTCTAAACTTTTAGTTATTATGACAGAAGTAATTACTTTGGCTGTTCCATTTCCTTTACAAAAATTATCATTTATAATTACAGGCATGAGAATTTTTCCTCTGTTTGATCATCCCTAGGAAAGTCTCATGATTCATGTGATATTGAGAAAATTTGTGGAGGAGTATAGTTAGATAGGTTGTCGACCTTCCATTAAGTAATTAGAATACACATGGGAAAAATCTGAATCCTGTTATTCTTCCTGATTTAGTGTTTATGAATGTTCAGAATATCCAGCCAATGGCAAAAGTTGAAGTTAAATTTATCAAGTGTCAGTAAAATGAAACTTGATTGGCTGTCTGATGTGATGACTAGGCAAAACAGTAAAACTTTCATTAGTTATTAGAAACAATAATTTTTTTCATTTTAATATAATAAATGTTACTCTAATTTGTTCAAAATGCAGGAGCTTCAGGGGACTTTGACCCCACTATGCCCTACCCTGAACCCCTGGCTTTTTAGCCTTTTTGCCCTTGCCCATTCTCATGCCTGTAATCTAAAATTGTGGAGTTTATGGTAAGTTTCATCCAGCATTAGCTTAGAGATTAGCAGGAAAGTATTTTTTTTTTTAAATGGCTGTACATAATTTCCAGAAGGAAATTACAGAGGTAACCTTTATAACTAAGATACAGTGAGTTACATAATATCTATTTATGTTTGTTCAAGACTTGACATATATTTTTGATACTTTATCTTACCTCCGCTCACAAAATAGCTTTTCTTGGGTAGTATTGCCATCTATTGGCACACATTTTCAATGCTTGCCACTAGTCTTCCACCTCCCGCTTCTGCATATCTACATGTAAATGATTATGCAGTAGCTCTCCACCAATAGGAGTATGACACAACCTCTGTCGTAACCAGCACCTTCTCCACATTTGCACTCGTTAATCGTTTCTCAGTTGACAGTTATTCTGTACAGACGTGCTGGTGTTGCTCACAAATTTGTCATTGTTTTCCTTTATACTACAGACTTAGTTTTTTTACTATGTTTTTGTTATTTCTTTATTTACAGACCCTTTTTTGCTAATGTATTGTGGATCCCACTGGGGCAAGTGGTGCCTGACCAGGTATAATTTTTTTTGAAAATCCACACTATTCATCCTGTGACCATGCTCATCAATTACATTGTAGCTCTTTCTACCACAAACCTGATGTACAATTCCAGATGCCACCAGATGATGGTTGTGTGAATCCATTCAATTGACATCTATGTGAAAACAGTAATGTCGCAGGATTAGGTTACACACATTGTACATATGGGGTGTTCTGTAAGACTGCTAGTTTTTTTCTCTCTAGTGGTCTTTTGCTTCTTAAACATGTTTGTCCTAGACCGTACACTCGTGGACACACACATGAATAAAGCAGAAAAGGATTACTGCCCATCTCTGATGCTCTGTGGCATTGAGACTCTTCCTACCTCAGAACTGACATACAATTCCAGATGCTGCCAGTTGTTGGTTGATCGACTCCATGGTATTTCGATAACCCTTTGCACTTTCTCCAATGATGGGGTCCTCCAGACTCCCTAATGCATTTTTCCCTCCTTTCTTCTAGTGGAGTATGGGAGTCCTTGCCACTTACCAGTTTCTAGCCACTGGGGTGGTGGACCATGGATGCATCATACTACTCAGTTGAGATTAGGGTGGTGGCATTCTGCAGTTGTCAATGGCATAGCACTTCCTATCACAGGCCTGATGTACAATTTCAGATACCGCCAGGTTTTGGTTGTCACACTATAACATAATAATGTATATATATCTGACAGATTGCTTTTTCCTACCATGGCATTCATCCTTCGTACCATCCTCTGGATGTATATTCCCAGTTGGTTTGTTTTGTTGGAGATGGCCCAGTCATGATTAGAATCATTGACACCCTTCCCACTGCAGACCTGATGTACAATTCCAGATATCACCAGGTTTTGGCTGAAGCACTCCGCCATATATATCTATTGCAGGTTGCTCCTCAGGCTGACGTTCCTCCTACCTACCATCCTCTGGATGTGGTTCTCCAGGGGTCAGGTATTAGTTGGAGATGCTTCAGCTAAGTAAGTCCTCACATGTGTTCTGGCCAGTATCCCTCCTCCTACTGTGGACTGGATAAAACATACCCAGTGCTGCCATTGTTTGGACTGGTGATAAACTCCAGGTTTGTGGCCCCTTTTCCTACTATCTGCTGCATGTGGATTCCTGGTGGATCTGGTGTTGGTTGTAACTGGATGCAGCATGTGTATATTCCCACTTGTGTATGGCTGGATATCTTCCTCCTACCATGGCCTGAAAGAATCATACCCAATGCCACCAGGTTTTGGACTGGAGATGTCATCCCACCTCTGGGCATTCCTCCTTCCTACTATCCTTTGGATTGAAAATGTGTGCAAGTGGAGGTGTATTTTGGTACAGAAGCTCATCTTCCCTACTAATTTCCATTTTGATGTGACTATATTGACATTCCTCTGCCTATCACGTAACTATTGTACAATTTCAGATTTTGCCAGGTGTTGGATGAGGTCTAACTACCCCTATGGTCTGACGTGTCCTAGCCACTCGGACACCCAAGGGTCCCATTAATCAGTAATATGTATTGTGGAATTTCTTCCTATTTTTCTGCCTTTTATGTTTGTGAACAGTCATAAAAGAGTGAAGAGTATACTTGGATCAGATGTAGTGTGGTCTTCTGCTGAGATGTGATATTTTCTTTTTTGGTTCTATACCTCATGGTCTCTCTTTGGGTACCTCCTAAAAGGGGGTTTAGTTTTTCACTGGCCCTCTACCAGTTCAATGTGGGATTCAAGCTATTTTGTGAGAAGAGGTAAGATATCATATCTGAAGTTAACATTTTTTATAAAATGTTTTTCCGATAGATACCTTCTCTCACATTTCCTACCCAGCCTCCCCACTTCCGGTGGTACACGGTGTAGTGCTTTTGACCAATCTTGAAGAGATTAATCAGTGCAAGTGTGGAGAGGGTACTAGGTACAATAGGGGTTGTGTCGCACTTTAGTTGGTGAAGAGCTGTTGCATAATCATTTACATTTGGTATGCAGAAAAGAGAAGTGAAAGGCTAGTGGCAAGCATTGGAAATTTGCATTGATAGAGAGCACTAATCGAGAAAAGGTAAGTATCTATCTAAAATACATTTTCAGTTTAGCAAAACGTTAACTTTCAGACCTAGGAGTCAGTCCTAAAACTCAGGACTCAGGTGTGCCTAACCTAACTTCACTACTGTTTGTATCAGGAAATGGGGGCTACACTAGTGCCTCAATTATCTGTGATCTTCAATCTGCAGTTTTTTCTTTTTCCAAAATTTTCTCAAAATAATTGTACCATTACAATTCTAGGCAATAATATACATGTTTTAGAGAAATTGTTGCTCAGAAATTAATTTTGGTTGCAAAAGTTCAGTGGTCGTATGATATCTGGAGTTTTCACGTGCAGGATCTGGTATATGTTCAAATCGTAAGAGGGCTGGTTCAAACCTAGTTTTGTCTCTTTTATTTTTAGCTTGATTAACTTTATTTGTTAAGTGTATACAAAAACACAAAATACTCATTAATATTTTTTAATGATTTCACTCAACTTTAGTTGTTGTCCTCTGTTCAGTGCTACACAGCAGGCATCTTTTAACCACAGATACATGTTCAGGTTGTGTTGTGGTGTTGTCTACTTATGCAATGTCCTCTTCCCTACTGATAATTGGTATCTTCAGTCTGTTTTAACAAAGGTTTTTTTGTAATAATTCCCAAGCATGTATTTGCACTAATTTTTGACTTATTTTTCACAGGCATTGATAGGGTGCAAATGCACTTCTGTGGCAGAAAAAGTGCTGAAATTTAGGAGCTACCTACGCCCATGTTCACTATTAAATTCAACTAAAATGGGAATGGGCAATCAAAGAGGATGTATTATAGGAGAAAAAATAGAATTGAATTCGTATAACTCCTGAGATTCTGACTGACCGACTGACAGTTGGCTTTTATGATTATGATTGTAACAACTTTTATAATGTTTCATGATAATGTGATGAAATGATACTAAAAAGATTATAATTCAAAACAAGGAACTTAAATATATTGAAAAATTTTATTTAGATTAAACAATGGGCTAACTAATAAGATACACTAGTGCCTTGATTATCAGTGCTTCTGTTATCTGTGATTTTGTGCTTCCCCAGACGAGCACAAATATTTGAGGCATCAGTCTGTATTTATTTACCTTCACATCAACGAGTGCATGTTAACGATCATGTGATATCAACAACTAACTGATAGTATTGCCTGAACTTATGTGCACTTGGTCTCGTCTGAGTCTAATCATGTGCACTGATTGGTTGAATTGAGAGAAAGAAGAAAAACAAAATGGTGTGAAATTTTTAACATGTTGTGCAACTACAGTACTTCATTCCTGAAAAAACATGAAGTGTTGAATCAGCCATTAAAATTGTAGAAACAAAGAATATGAAAATAGTTCTGGACTTCCAATTGTCCAAAACTGTTCTAGGTTTGAGTTCTACTTAGAACAGCCCTACGCATGAAAAAAATGGGGAAAATACTAGGTGTCACGATGAAATTTTTAGTTGTCATGGCAATCTAGCACCCGGGATTTGTCGAGGCCTATGTTAGTTTCAGTAATATACAATATATCTTACTATGAAGTGTAAGTTAGTGCATGATTGATGTATTTAGGCCTGTGATTGTACTTTTTCTAATAAGCATGTGTGAGATCTAACTTTTAGATTAAAGGTTACAGGCATGTTGAATAATGGCATAGTATACAGCTATGTCACATAGTGATTTTGTTCATTATAAAGAATAAATTTACCGAACCTAACTTAGGTTTTAAAACATTTATTGGTGTTTCAAGATACTCTGACATTTATGAGTTGGGAATTTTTATGAATATAACTGCAAAAATTGCCAGTATAATGTCATTGGTCTACACTAATCTCTTTCTTCAATGTGGCAAAAGTTACTTAACTTGTGTTTTACATTTTAGTGGCAAAAAAGCCACACATATAGCTTCCAAGAATGACTTATTAGAAACTGTTTAGTTCTTATGAAAGTTGTGATTGATGTATGTCTCTCAATAGTCTCGCTGTATTTTTCTGAGTCTTGTGAATGTACCAAAATTCTTAGTTAAATGGGCAATATTTAACTTAAAATATAAGAGGATTTTTTTTACTGTATATAAAATAATTTTTCGTGACAAACTTATGGTATTAAATGAGGATACTTTAAGAGAATATGATCAAAACAAACAAAGTAATTAAAATATAAATACAAGAACTTAAAGAATTTTAATTGAGATAGTTCTGAGATTTTTGCTTAGGGTACTCTCATCCTGCAGAATACTAATTTTAAAACTGAATGATTTGGCTAGCAAGTCAAGCAGCATTTTAAGTACTCTATATCAGTTATTTTTGTTTTTGTGTTTTTTAGTTATTTAAGCCATTGTTATTTGACTTGGAGCTGATCTTGATAGTGTTTCAAATGTTTTTTTGCATGTGCAGTACATAGCTCTACTGGATGAGTGTAACTTAATTTTTTTATGGGAAGTGGATAATGATAAGGGTTTTTTTTCAGCTCTGGGGATATTTCTATTTTATTTATGTGAGGGTAGATATTGAATGTTTTTTTCTTTACTGCTAGAACATTGAATAGATAGTGTGTTTCTAAAAATCAAAAATAAAGGTGACTTTTATACTACCACAACTAAGAGTAAAAAGTCAGTTCATCAGTTAAAAAATCTTTTGATTGTTATTTGTAATTTTTTTTAAGGTTAATTAAGACTGAAAATTAATGCAGATTTATAGACTGTGTTTTTAGGATTATCTGTCCTGGTATGGTCTTGAAATGATGTTTTAAGCTCTGTGCTGAGTCCTTCATTGTGTTAAGACTTTTTCCTTCCTTACCTTTCTGGAGATGTTGAGTTCTACACTGAATCCATTGTATTTGATGTTTTTCCTTGATTTAGTCTGGAGAAGAGGTTGGGTTCTACACTGAGTCCATTGTGGGAAAACCTTATCACAGAACCCAAAACATCTCCAGGTTAAATCAAGACAGAAGTCATTAACACCCAGTCTATCCATTGAATTTGCTGCTTATAACCACCTTAAAAGAAATACTTAGTATACTGTTAAACTAGATTGTTTAATTTCATCAGTTTGTAACATTTCCAGGCTGCCTGTAAAACTGGACAGATCAAGGAAGTTGAAAGGATCTGTAGGGAAAGTAATTGCTACAATCCCGAGCGAGTAAAGAATTTCCTCAAAGAAGCTAAGCTGACAGACCAACTGCCATTGATTATTGTTTGTGACCGCTTCGACTTTGTTCACGACCTCGTGTTGTATCTGTATCGCAACAACCTCCAGAAGTACATTGAGATTTATGTTGTCAAAGTAAAGTCACATTTCATTATCATTTTACTGTTTTTAACAATGTATTGTAATTTCTCCTGTGAAACCTCGTAGGATAGTTTAATGCTTTTGTGATTTGAAGATTTATTTAGAAAGAAAATATCAGGATGAATTCACTTTTGAAGTTATTGTTCCTTATCTAAACCAGAACAATTTCATACAAAAGGGCTTTTTCCTCTTAACTACACATTTTGAATTTATCGCCTTCATAGATGTTTGCCTTCAAATGTGTGGTTCTAACAAAACCAAACTTCCATTTTTCAAATTGGGACAATGTTTTGAATAGTAGATTGTAATTTCTTCCACGAAATCTCTTAGGATATTGTTATAGCTTATGTGATATGAAGGTAAAAAAAAAGTATTACAGGATGTTATTTTCATTATGGTAGCTTGTGTTAGAATATTTCAAAAGTATGTGTAATTTTTAGAAGTAAGAAATGTTCTATATTTGATTTGATTATGATACTACTAGTTTTTGTTTTGAATCTGTCGAAACTTTTAACAATTTAATAAATTGTACCAACACTTTGTTACATGACAGAAGTATTACATTTAATTTTTATTAGTGTTTTAGAACTGAGACACTGGTTGGTATAAATTAGAACTTGTATATTGTTTTTCCAACTATAGTATCTTTGTATGGCCTGTTGGTTAAGGCGCTCGACTTGCAATCTGAGGATCATTGAACATGTTCACCCTTTCAGCCATGGGGCATTATAATAAGACAGTCAATCCCACTGTTTGTTGATAGAAGAATAGCTCAAGAGTTGGCAGTAGGTGGTGTTAACTAGCTGCCTTCCCTCTAATCTAAATTTCAGATGGATAGCATAGATTGCCCTTGCATGGCTTTGGACATAATTCAAAACAAGCCAAATAAATTTGGACATCAGGACATGTGTAATTTATCAACCCTAGTTTGTTGTTGATGACACAGTCATTAGTGATAGTTTCCAGTGGATATCTTTCAACAAAACATTATTTACTAAGGTCGTAACATATTGATGGTCTTCATTTTTTGAGTATACTATTTTATTAAACAAGAAAAATAATTAAATAGCTTGCTGCTTCTTAATGAAAAACAAAATAAAAAGGTAAATATAAAATCTTCAAGGACAATTCTTAAATACATAATTTCTTTGTTTTCTATTAATGGTACAGTGACTTGTAATTTTTTCGTAGGTTAACCCTTCTCGCCTTCCTGTAGTGGTTGGAGGGCTGTTAGACGTGGACTGTTCAGAAGATGTCATTAAGTCACTTATTATGAATGTCAAAGGTCAGTTTTCTACAGATGAATTGGTGGAAGAAGTTGAGAAACGGAACCGACTCAAGCTACTGCTGTCCTGGCTGGAAATGAGAATACATGAGGGACTTGTTGAACCTGCAACCCATAATGCATTGGCTAAAATCTACATTGATTCAAACAACAATCCTGAAAGATTCCTTAAGTAAGGTGATAGTGATGGTTCTAAAAAAAAAATATTTTCCATGTAATTTTAAATTTATGTCCAACAAATATTATTATAGGGAAAATATTGATTAGCATAAAAAAGAAACTTAAGTGTAAAAGGTGTACAAGTTTTAAGATTTTTTTTTTTTTAAGTAGGATTGTAAGTGGTACTAATTGAAATCTTAAACTTTACAGAGAAAACCAGTATTATGACAGTCGAGTAGTTGGTAAATACTGTGAAAAACGTGATCCTCATCTGGCTTGTATAGCATATGAACGAGGAGAGTGCGACCGTGAGTTGATCAATGTATGTAATCAGAATTCCTTGTTCAAGAGTGAAGCTCGTTACCTAGTACATCGCAAGGATCAGGAGTTATGGGCTGAAGTCCTGTTAGAGAGCAACCCTTTTCGACGGCAGCTTATTGATCAAGTAGTGCAGACTGCTCTGTCAGAGACTCAAGATCCAGAGGATATATCTGTCACTGTAAAAGCCTTCATGTCTGCAGATTTGCCAAATGAGCTCATAGAACTGTTGGAAAAGATTGTTTTGGAAAACTCAGCATTCAGTGATCACAGGTAAACTGGATATATGTTTTTAAAATGTTTATAAAATTTAAAAGTCCAATGTGTTCTGTATTTCAGTTATAGAAAATCTAAAATTAAATTAATTTATTATTGCTCTTCATATTTCATGGTATTATATTAATGATATAGATTTCTAAATGCATATCAGTTGATGTAAAAAAAAATAGGTAATATTACCTAACTTACCAATGTCTAATGTACACATGCTTGCAAGATTATGTGGGTTTTGTATGTTACAGCTGGTCAGAAAACACTTGATCAAGTGACTGATATTTAAAATCAATTGAAATTTAAACTTGCAAGTTTCTTTAAGAATTTTATCTGATTATTCCTGCTCTTAAATGTTCAACTTTCAGAAACCTACAGAACCTTCTGATACTCACAGCAATTAAAGCTGATCGAACTCGTGTTATGGAATACATTAATCGTCTGGACAACTATGATGCACCTGACATAGCAAACATTGCTATTGGAAGTGAACTATATGAAGAAGCTTTTGCTATATTCAGAAAATTTGATGTGAACACCTCTGCTATCCAGGTACAAGAAAAATAACATTTTCTAATAGTGTGTTTTTTTTTTATAACATAAGAAAATATTTGATTCTTTAACAGCAAATAAAAGAAAAAAATTTGCCCTAGTGGCACAACGGTATTTCTGCAGACTTGCATTGCTAGAAATCGGGTTTCAATACCTGTGGTGAGTAGAGCACAGATAGCCCATTGTGTAGATTTGTGCTTAACTACAAGCAAACAGTAAAATTATTTATAAATTAAAAGTCTTTAAGAGTAATAATAATAATCTTAATTATTTTCTGAAAGCAGTTTACATCTAATCCTTTTTGAGATTGCTAATGATTATATTATTTATAGGTAATTGTCAGACTAATAAATTTATAAGCCTATCTAATAGAATATAAATTCCTAAAATTTTCTATATTTATAGTATTAGAAATAGTTATGGAAGTGCACTGGTGATATGCATTAAGAAGTCAGAGAAAATAAGTCATTAAAACTAAGTTGTCGATTGATAAATACGTTATTGTGGAAAATAAAGTAAATGAGTTATACAGTGCACTAATGTTTTTTATTTGATTTAAACAGAGCGGTATACCTTGTTCTTTTTATGGTATCATAGGTTATCAATGTATAACTCTGAAATATCGTTCCAAGTGACTTGTATTACTCCACACAATTCAGTCATGTTATATAGTTGCCATTTGACCTACTCAGTTTCTATATTAAGCCATGGTTGTGAGCATTCCATTGGCCTTTTTCCTACCAGTTATTGTTTCACAGCATATATGGCATACTTGGAATCACTATCTTGCTGGGAGATGAATCCCTGCCCAATAGGTCTTGTTCCTGGGGGAATGAATTTGGAGACTTGAATCTGCTTTTACCTGTCAGCGGCAAGGTTCCATCTGTTTTATGTAGATCTCCACCATCATTAGTTGATAAGTAGCCCACACACACTTATAGTGCAACAGGCTTTAGGTGATGTACTTTAGTCCAGATATAATACTGTTCTACTCTCTACAATTGAACAAACTATGATTGTTTGATGCTAAGACTTGATTTGTCTCATTCTCTACAACAGTGGTTTTGAGCATCTACACATCCATTAAGGCCACTTCATGCTAATGTGTGTCTTACTATTCTGGAGATAACATTCACTTGTAAATACAACTGGGTCTTTCAGATGTTCTTATTAGTAACAATTACCAGGTCTCTACTGGATTGTTGTGTATCTCATGAAGAGCATATCCTGACTTACTTTCTTATCACTTTTGAAGCATTTGAGCTTTCTAACTCATTTCTATTATTAACAGTACTTGTTTCACATACCCACTTCAGAATTTACACACAGCTCTTACTGAAACATGAAATTTCACCTCAATCTGTTGCACAGAGTACCAGCCAAAGCTTATTTTTACACATTTGTCATGTGGCATTTTTGTCCTAGCAGCCATGAGTGTATCTAGCACACTACTGCAGGGAATAGTATAGTTGTCTGTACTGTTTATAGGTACTAAACTGGTGTAAAACTGTCTTATTGGTTGGATGACAGCAAGTTACAGTGTAAACAGTCAGTAACATAACATTTAAGGACAACAAGAGACTTATTGGCCCATCTAGGCCATCCTGTCCACTAAATTAAACAGTACTTATCATTCAAGTATTTTTCAAGCTTTCTTTTAAACTTCCTTAAATTAACTGCATTCAACACGTCTGAAAGGAACCCATTCCAGAGACCAATCACCCTGTTAGAAAAATAAAGCTTGGTTGAAGATGACTTACCCTGCCGAAATTTATATTTATGTTCCCTAATTCTACCATTCTCATCATTAAGTACAAAAAAAGATGATTCATCAACACTATCAATCCCCTTACCAATCTTAAACACCTCAATCAGATTCAAGAGAAAAGAAGTTCAGAGATCTCAACCTATCCTCATCCCAGGTATCGTCCTAGAAGCCTTGCTCTGAACCCTTTCCAATAATTCAGTATCCTTTCTGAAGAAAGGAGCCCAAGACTGAATACGACACTCCAAATATGACCTAACCAATCACATTATAACTTCTTTAGACTTGTATTCCACATTTCTTTAGATATGATCCTAAAATCATATTTACCCTGCCACTAGCATCAGCAGCTGGCTTGGATGGCTTAAGACTGATGACCAGAACCCAAGATATTTTTCTCCCTAACATTGTTAAAGTTATTCCCATCACAATTATACACATAAGTCAAATTGTGATATCCTACATGCATTACCTTGCTTTCAATGTAGTCAAAAGTCAGTTGCCATTTATTCACCTAACTCGCCAAATAGGCCAAATTATTTTATAAAGTAGTATCGTCATCCTCACAGCCAGCATAACTTTAATCTCATTAGCAATTCTAAATAATCTATTAACCATTTCTTTAACTTTGTCATTGATGTAAATAAAAAAGAATAAAAGTTCTAGCACTGAGCCCTGTAATACTCCACTTATAACAACCCTTTGCTTTCTTCCATCCAACCAGCTTTCTATCCACCAAGCCAACCCATCCCCCACACCTACAGAGATAACCTTTTTAACAAATCTTTTATATGACATCTTTTAAAATTTTTTCTGAAAATCCAGATACACCAAATTCACACCTGGACCCACACTTGCATCAGCATAAATCTCTTCATAGAAAGTTAAAAGATTAGCAAGGCAGGGTTTTACCCTGGTAAACTTATGCTGACTATACAACAGAATTTTAAACTTTAAAATACTTTGCAAAGCATTTCTTATCAGACTTTTCCCATCAGTGATGTAAGACTAATAAGCCTATAATTACTCAGGCAATTCTTATCGCCTCCCTTGAAAAGAAGATTAACATTAGTCAACTATCAATCTTCTTGCACCTGCCCACTATTTGAGGACTTGGAAAAAATATTAACAAGTGTCTCACATATCCAATCCTTAACCTCCTTCAAAACCCTTGGGTAAATATTATCTGGCCCAAGAGCCTTATAATTCTTTAAATTTCCCAATTTTTTTTTCACCAGCTCATAATTAATTTGATCATCTTGTTCAATCTTGTTTCCATCTAACAACTGTTTAGGTTGAGAAATATCGTTTAAATCTTCATTATTAACAACTGAAGGAAAATTAGAACTTAATAAGCCAGCCATCCCATAATTGTCAGATATTAGTCTTCTTGTATTATCCCTTAAAGGCTCTACTCCCATCCCAACAATTTGATTACCCTTATTGTATTTGAAGAAATCCTTACTATTTATTCTTACATTTTCAGCCAACCTTTCTTCATCTACTGTATTTCCTGATTTCTCATTTGACCAAATCTCTTGATCTTCTATAATCTCCTATCATTGCAATTTAAACTTCCTTTGATTAGTATCTCCAACTAATTCAGTTGTCCACTTCACAGTGTGTAATTCTTGTCTCTTCTCTTAAAAATCCCCTTTTTTGAAATTTGAAACCAAAATCTCATTATTCCTTATCTCCATATGTAGCATAAAAAAATCACATTCAATTGAGCAATGATTACATATATCCAGGTGTTTCCCATTCTCTACCCCCCTCAACCATTGCTTTATTAGAAATTAACAATAAATCTAAAACAGCATTATTCCTAGTGTGTTCCCTAACCAAATGTTGAAAAAAGCATCTTGAATAGTTACTAAAAATCTGTCTTCCTCATTATTTGACTCTAACATTTCCCAGACTATATGCTTTAAACTCAAATCTTCTATGATTATAACCTCTTTAACAGTTGAATTATTTATCTCACTGTAGAGTTTCTTATTAATTTTATCAGTTTCATCTGGTGGTTATTTGACTCTAACATTTCCCAGACTATATGCTTTAAACTCAAATCTTCTATGATTATAACCTCTTTAACAGTTGAATTATTTATCTCACTGTAGAGTTTCTTATTAGTTTCATCTGGTGGTATGTAACAACTTCCATCTAAAAACCTTCTTCCCTAATAACCACTAACAGAAACCCAAGTATATTCAATCTCATTGCTGTTAGCTTTGATATTCTCAAGTTGAACAGGCTGTAACTCATATTCTATATATAAACCAACTCCTTCCAATATTTTTAGTACTCTATCCCTATTACACTATATAAAACCATGTATTTTAATGAAATTTCTGTCATCAAAATTGTCTACCTTTAGCCAGGTTTCAGTTGTCCTTATAATATCAAAATCCTCAGTTCTGACCAGTGCTCTGAAGTCATCCATTTTATTTCTTATACTTCTAGCATTACAACAATAACAGTTTAGCATACTATTAAAACTACCTTTATACTTTGTTTCCATACTATACCCTTCTCAGCATCTTATTTGTTCTTCATTATTCCGGCCCTCTCCACTGTCTAGTTCTAGTTTAAAGTTGCTCTTATATTTGAGTTAATTGCTCTTCCAAACAAGCCAGCCCCTACCTAACTTAAAGGTAATCCATCCATTCCAAACTCTCTATTTTTCCATTGAGCTTATCTCATAAATCCAGTTAGCCAAGCTGTTTTCTTTACCTTTTAACCTAAGCCTAGAATTCAACCTTATTGACCTAATTATAATCTCATCCCCATAATCAAGCCTTGGAAGTATCCCTGACAGAATTAGGTTGAATGCCTTTATGAATATCTTGTACTTAACAGTTAGCTCCTTTGACCTATCCATTCCTACATCATTAGCCCCATGTGCACTACAAAGACTGTATCACTGCTAGTGCCCTTTACTATATCATTTGATCTGTCAGTTATATCCTCCAATCCTACTCCTGGATAGCATAATCTAACTCTTTTTCTCTATTTACCCCACAGACCATCCACTTTTCATACTGAAGAATCTCCTATAACAATAAACTCTCCTTATTTTTTCTATCCTAACCCTATCTGTCCATTATGTTATCCTTTCCTCCTTGAGTTCATCATCTGCACAAGCTAAAGGCTGAAATATGTTGCTTAATTGACCCTGTGAGTGTGTATATATTGCTATAAAGATGATTTCCTCAGTGAATGTTTCAGCCGAAATAAGTGATAGACTTCACTTCTTTAAAATTAAAGTTCATGTGACCTATTTTTATTATTCAGGCAAGCTGCCTAGTAGAAAATTTATAGGCAATTAAAAAAATTTTAAATGCATTCTGTATAATTCTGTGTTTCACTTTGTGAAACTTTTCATAAGTGATTTAAATTAATATTGAACTAATTTACTCTGTGCTGTTAGTTGTTCCTATTAAGGCAATGTTTGCAAGCATTTAGTCTGGTTCTGAAATGCTTTATATCAGAACATTCAAATAAATATGTAAATGCCAAATATTCCCCTTAACAACAACGAAACATATAGGGTCACAAAAGTAGATGAGACATTGCTACAGAGGCCCTAATGTAAGTTGTTTAGAAGAGAGTATACCTTCCTGTATTAAATTTAATTTTTTGTATCCCTTGTTTAGGTGCTTATTGAACACATCAAAAACCTTGACAGAGCCTATGAATTTGCTGAGCGATGCAATGAACCAGCTGTGTGGAGTCAACTGGCTAAGGCTCAATTAGAACAAGGGCTTGTGAAGGAAGCCATTGATTCTTTCATCAAAGCTGGGGATCCTTCCTCCTACATGGATGTTGTTCAGACAGCTCATAAAACAGGTTAGGGGTGAATACTAAAGTGCCCAAGAGATGTCTATTCAGTTAGCTTTTCAAAAACTGCATTTTTTTTATCTATCTCAAGGAAATCTATAACAATAAAGAAAATTGAATGAGTTTCATTTTTAATTTGATAATGTTGTCTTGTAGCTATTTTGAAAGGTAATGGATGTCATAAAGAAATATGCAGAATTTTAAACTGTACAAATTTATAGAAAACATGGATAAAATTTAAGAAAGTTTAAAAACATTAACATTCTAATGCTTTCTGTTAATAAACTGTTGATTCCATTTTTTTCTTTCATATATGTTATAGTTTAATATTTTACATAGAAAATAGTTAAACAGTGCAGCTTTATCTACTTGTGGAAGAAAAACTTAAGATTTGTGATAAATACACAAAGCTGTTTTATGATATTGCAGAAGATGAACTAAATTTTATTGCCCCCAATTTTTTTTTCTTCTATAGATAATTGGGAGGATTTGGTACGATTCCTGCAGATGGCAAGAAAGAAAGCCCGTGAGTCCTATGTAGAATCGGAGCTAATCTATGCCTATGCCAAGACTAACCGTCTCTCAGACTTGGAAGAATTTATTTCAAGCCCAAACCATGCTGATATCCAGAAAGTAGGTTTTAATTCATTGAGTTTAACCCTATGGTTACTGGGTCTTAAAATTTGTAGGATCTAACATCGCTATCATTATATTTCATTCCGAAATAAAACTAGTGGATGAAATTGTTTGAAATTTAACAAGAACCTTCCTAAAAGTATGTAGTTTCAGATAAATAAAATATGTAATATTGTTTGTTTTTTTACTATTTCTAAAACAAATTCATTATTTAATGTAGTTATTTGCACTACGACTCTGAATAATTTGACTGCATGATGATTTTCATTTTGAGTATAAAAATACTATTTATTATCTTAGTTTTCACATTTTATTTCCATAATTTCTAGAACCTGATAAATGAATGTCAAACGTTTTTTAGGTAAATGTTTATAATTTATTTTCCATTTTCTCTACCATATCACTAACTCTATCTATTATCATCAATATATACAGTGCAATGAAATGTTTAAAATTAAAAAATGGAAATATGTATTTACCTTTTATCTCTTCATTAAGTAATCTTAAAATAACTTCTTTGAGTCATATGTGTAGTTTCATATTTTTGCCTTTTCACTTGTAGTTTATTTTTAATGTTTTATTTTCCTTTCCAATTCTTTATCTTTTATTATACATGTCGAAACATCAACATTATGATCAGGGGACACACTTTAGCATTCCATGAAAATGTTTATACTCTCCTGTTCACATAAGCCTTCTCCAGCAAGGCAACGAGTAAAAAAACTTAAGTAATCATTGAACCTTTTGAAATATGCATTTTAAAACACAAATAATACATGAATAACTGAAATATAAAAGTAAAACCTAAATGCAATTTAAATGTCTATCAAACAAATATGTATAAAGCGATAAAAAATAATCAAGCCCAAGGGACACTTATCTTAACAATAGACTTCTGCTTGCCATTTGAAAAAAATACTTTATCACTTACATTTCCTTATAGTGGATAAATTAATCAAGAAGTCTGCTGTTATATTGTTTATAACATTCCATTCAAGTCTAGAAAAGATTATTGCTTTGCAACAGATTACTTTGAAATGTAGATGTTGCGTCTACCAGGAACAAAAAAGTATTAAGCTAATTCTTGGAATGTAGCCTCTATAAAATGAAACTAAAGTTTAGACTTTAAACTTGTACTTGTAGAAGCTTGTCTAGACTGTTGGAGAGGTACTGAGACAAACTGAACAAAATAAAGGAATACTAATCTGGATAATATAAAACTTTGAATTATAATGTATTTGATATTGCTAATTTCATTAAAATGCATTGAAAATAAATTGGTTTAATTAAGTTTTGAGTGTAACTCAATAACACTTTGTGACATGTTTGAAAGGTATTTAAAAAGGTTATTAAAGGGTTAAAAATAATTTCAAGATACTCTTTGGTGTTTTCTGAGTAATTGGGTTATTTAATTTAAACTAGGGCTGTATAATAAACTAGACCAAATTATAAAATGTAAAGTTTTTTTTAACAATTAATTATACTGATCTGGGTTTGTTAGTGGAATTTGATAGGGTTTTTTTTTTTCCAAAATAATGAGAATGAATTTAAATAACTGAACCCATTGAAGTTAAGACACTATTACCTGTACAATAAAAGTGGAATTACTTGAGCAGTGTTATATCATTTGTCTTGTTCCTAGATTGGAGATCGATGCTTTGATGATGGTCTTTATGAACCTGCCAAACTTCTGTACAACAATGTATCCAACTTTGCTAGGCTAGCCATCACCCTAGTTCATTTAAAAGAATTCCAAGGAGCTGTGGACAGTGCTCGCAAAGCTAACTCCACACGCACGTGGAAGGAAGTAAGAATTCTGATGTTTTTTCTTATTCTATGTACATTTGTAGCTGATATCAGAGCTATATTTATAAACTGTATTTAGGTGTGCATTCATGAACATAAGTTATTCTTAGACTTACACCAACCTTTATAAAATTTCTTAAAAAGAGAGAGCAATATAGAAAGTCCCCCAGTAGGTCACCAGTAAGTTTATGGATTTATAATGCTGAAATCTGGGGTTTAATTCCTTGCAATGGACAGAGTACATGTACCCTATTCTGTAGCTTTGTACTAAAAACCAAAATACAAAAACAAGTCTAAAAAGTTAGTTAAAAACAAAATTGTCATTACCTGGTACTAAGAAATATGCTTTTCAGAATGATATTCATATTGGTGAAACAAAATGTATTAGTTATTAAAATTATCAACACATTGTAGATATTAAGTTATTTTAGTACTATCTAGTGTGCTGGTGTTGCTTCAAGTCTGTATTTTTTCCATGTTTCTAGGTATGTTTTGCCTGTGTGAACAGTGAAGAGTTTCGGCTAGCTCAGATGTGTGGTCTTCACATTGTGGTCCATGCAGATGAGCTGGAGGATCTCATTAACTACTATCAAGACAGGGGCTACTTTGAAGAACTAATCTGCCTCTTGGAAGCTGCTTTAGGTTTGGGATTACTTTCTACCTCAAAACTTGTTGGAGCCATATTATTCTTTTATAGCTAATTAACAGTTATAGCATTCTAAGACTTCATAATACAGTGGTGTAAATCCTTAATATTCCAAAGCTTATAATGACTGATTAACATTTTGTAGCTTATCAACAACTGCTTATGTGACATACTTCACAGGAAACTTGTAATTTATGTTTCTTGACTTGCCAATTAGCTAAATAATATTTTTTTACATTTTAAAAATGATGCCCATTTTTTTATTTCTTTGATTTGCCATTATTATGAATCAAATTATAGTAAAATTTATCTCAGTTTTAGCATTCAGCTTTAATAATGTTAATATTACGTGTTCAAAGTTGCTGACAGTGTTGTATATTTTAATTTCCATCAGAGAATTCATTTATATAATAGGTACTATACATTCTCAACCCTAAGTGTTACATACTGCTAATGATGAATTTTTTACTTTTGAAACATCCAGAGATTAAATGTATTTGCCACCATTGTCATAATGCTCTTTCTCTTTTCTTAAATATTTTTAATTTGCTATGCAGAAAAACAACACGTGATAAAATTTTTTATACAGCTATATTTCTGTGGCAAATTTCTATAAAAAAAAAACTTATTGGTGAAAAGGATCTAGCTCACGTGACTGTATGAGCATTGAAGTTATAAGCATTATCATTTCTTATCAGCCCAGTGAGGTCAGTTCTACAGAATTTTACTGAAAGGGACTATGTTTTTAGTTGTAATGGTTGGCTTGATGCAGTTTTTTTCACCTTTTAACCTTTATTTTGAGAGAATTTGTAACTGTACAGCAAATCTAATAATCAAACTAAAAGTACAACATTTATCTAGATAAAATATTATTTAAAAAAAAAGTAATATTTACACGAGTCTACATCTGTTCTTTCTAAACCTTACTTTACCTGTTTGAATGTCATGTTTACAGCTAATTTTTAAAAGACAACAACCAGCATTTTAGATGAAAACTTATGGAACTGTTAATTTGTATTTGATCAATTTTATCCATTACTACTTTTTTGAATTATTAATTTTTGTACTGCAGGCTTGGAGAGGGCTCATATGGGCATGTTTACAGAGCTAGCCATTCTCTACTCTAAATACAAACCGACGAAGATGAGAGAGCACTTAGAGCTTTTCTGGTCACGAGTCAACATTCCAAAGGTTGTGTTATGTCTATCTCAGTGTTTGCTATTAAGCATTTTTATTAATATATTAAATTATAGGAAGTCTTTTTTTTTCTTTTATCAAGAGCAGTAATTAATGTGTTTAAGTATATTGCCATACTGTTGAGAGCACCACGAACAGAACAATTGTACTGTTTTATTGATGTTTATAAATGGTGGTATAAATTTATGAATATATGTATTGTTTTAGGTTTATTGCAATATTACCCTAAGCTTCATGTGTATAAGTCTTTTCTCATTGTTTTTAGAAAAAAGGTTTTCAGTTACTAAGTTGTGTGTATCTATTCAAGCATAGGTGTTGCTATCTGTTTCTGATACCAATTAAAAATAGCTATTTTGTACGTATGAATGAAGTCAGACTGAACTGACTTTGCATATCTTTCTGTATTCAGATGTAGCTGCAAAAAATTGGCTAGTGTAGGAGTTCAGTATGTAAAGGAATATGTGTTTGTGTATCTTCATGAAATTTAGCAAGCTTTTAGTTAATGCTACAAGTCTTTTGTACACAAAAGATAATTTTTAATGAAGTATTTTTACCAAAGAGTTGTCTGTGAATATATGGAGTCAGAGTGTAAGGTGATTTTCATGTTAAAGTAAAAATACTTTTCTTCATCTTACAGTTTTTATATTTTATTTGCATAACCTCTAAACTTCCTAAATGAATACCAAATTTTTTTTTAAGTAAAATTTTATATTTTATGTTATTTTCTATACCCTAAATTTATACAGACTTGATCGATTTCACTGATCTTGTAATTGCCACAGAAAAATATGAAATAAATCTGAATTACCCTTTTTTTCTTTCTAGAATGGCTGCATATTGTAACAGAAAACTACAATTGTTTATCCAAAGTAGCCTAAGACTCATAATAGCATAAATCTGTTTCTACTTAATTTTATTGTTATATTGCCCTTTGAACTGGGTTTAACTAATAATCCCGCAATATAAGTTGTAAATCACTTGGGGAACATGTAATGCAACGTACTGTATTGATGTAATGCACAAGCTACTGGCAAGTGTACCTTGTGGAGAAAATTCATTTTCATTGTCTTACCTAAACTAGACTAACAAGATTCTAATTTTTAGCTTCTTTTATAATAATAAATAAAAAATATGCGTAAAAACAAGAAATTTAATACTTACGTTTGGCCTCTTGTTTTTTTCTGCTGTTAGTCTGCCAATGAAACTTAAGTCTACTTTTTTGTAGTGATGAAACAATAACATTAAATAATTTTTTTCATTTGAAGAACCCACATAAAAGTAAAAAAAAATAACATGCACAGAACTGTACTATAACTATTATAATTTAACTGGCTTTCAAACTAAGGCATAAGTCCCTAGACCCTATCACCACAGGCATCATTTACTGCGCATGTCATAAGGTGCTTACATTCAAAACTTAATTAAACTACTTTTTGTTTAATTAGTATAGCATAAAATTGTAACTAATAGTCCATATTTTAATAGTATATAAATTTTAAGTTCATAATACAATATTTAAACAAATCCTGAATTTCCCTTAGTGTGAAAAATATGACATATTTTCTCTATTTTATTCACCACCTCTCTAATAAGCACGAAATTTAATGTAGATTACTCACTATAAAATCGTCATTGCTCAGACAACAAACCATAACTTTTATATCCTTCAATCTTGTTTTGTTACAGAGCCATCAAATAGAAAATCAGACCCTTCTTGCCACACCCACTTGTCACATCATCTCTTTCAGGATTTGTTAGTACTTTTAAAACTGTATTATGTATAACCAATAGAAAGCTAAGATTTTCATCTATCAAATTATGTATTATATTACATTGTTTTCTGAACAGAAAATTGTCATTTTCTCTCAAAATGGTGTATTTAAGTGTTTTACACTCACAAAAAAGAAACTTATCATCCTATAGGTATTTGAAGAACTTGTATCATTCCACCACAATTTAATTCTTCATATTGTTAGCTGACACTAGGCAGCTGGTACATAATTGAATAGGGTTATTTAAACATTTGAATAACAACAAGTAAAAGCTGGAATGGTCTATTCTTTCATTGCGGGTGGGGGGGTCGGTAAGCCAGACAAGTTTTTGAGAATTACACTCCTCATCAGTCACCAATGGAACTTCAGACCAAACCAAACGTGGACTAGTAAAAAAAAACAAAAAGAAAGAAAGACACTCAATATATTCACAGACAAGTCTTTTTTTTAGTTATTAAAAATACTTCACTAAAAAATGATTTTTTGTACACGAAAGACTTGTAATGTTTACTGAAAGTCTGTCAAATTTTGTGAAGATATACAAACTGTATTAAATGTTAGTAGTTTCAACACTATAATAACTTTAAATTAATACATAGAGGTCACTTGGTTGGTCAAATAGACTGAGCCCTTAGCTACTCAGTCTGAACTCGGTAATAACAACTTCCAATCTGTAGTCCAAATATTTAAAAATCTCTACTCAGAACAACATAGTGTTATAATTCATTTGGTAAATTAAAACTTTATCTTTATATTGGTTATAATAGAGAATTATTGACAATTTGTGAAAGAGAGGATGTGTCAAATGGGCATGACAAGTGGGTCTGACTGTCTTCGTAAACAAAAAAGATTGAAGGCTATAAGCATTAGTCTTTGTCTTAGTAATACTGTAATGAGTAAATTATATTAAACTCGGAATATCAGATAGGGGTGTTGAAAAAATAAATAGGCAAGACATAGCAAACAAATGTAATGATTCTCATCCAAGGAGGTATTGAGGATTTATTTAGATACTTCCTTTTAAAATCAAGAACTTATGAATGTGTATCAAAATTTGATTTATTAACTACATTTTGATACCCAGGTTATTTGTATACATTGATAATAAAGTACTTGAATTAAGTTTGGAATGTAACTCTATGCTTAGAGGAAGGGTTAACTTGAATGTCATTGTGTGAAATTAATGATTGATATGCTTGTACCCAAAACTGACTGCTTTCTTAATTTGCAGGTGCTGCGGGCAGCTGAACAAGCTCACTTGTGGGCTGAGTTGGTGTTTTTGTATGACAAATATGAAGAGTTTGACAATGCAGTAGTTACTATGATAAACCATCCAAGTGAAGCATGGCGGGAAGGTCACTTTAAAGAAATGATAACAAAAGTAGCAAACATTGAGCTGTACTACAAAGCCATTCAGTTCTACCTGGATTACAAACCAATGTTGCTGAATGATGTGTTACTTGTCTTGTCAGCTCGAATGGACCACACACGTGCTGTCAATTTCTTCACTAAGGTATAATTGAATGTAAAAATATCTAGCAAAGATATGAATCACTTCTAATGTTTACACATTGTATACAGATATAAGAAGGCTTTTAAATTAACCTGTATTTATAAAAATTCTTCCCAGTTTCTAAGAAGCTTAGGTTGGGTGTTGGCTAGTGAGTAGCTTGCCCAATCTGTAAATCCAAAACACATTGCTTTTTGGGGTCACAAGTATGCTGTAAGAGTGATAATTAAATCCCACTATTTGGTTGGGAAAAAGTTGGCCATGGGTGACATTGAGTAGCTACTTTCTCTCTAGTTTTATAGGCTCAAAATAAGGGATGACTAGTGCACCCAGCTCTTGAGTAGCTTTGTGTGAAAATGCCAAATGAACATAGAACAAACAAAAAAATCTTAGAAAATCAAAACAAATTACAGTATGTTAGAAACTTCATAGCATAGTTTAATATGCCTTAATCTAACTTCACACTTTTCAAAGTTAGCACATTTATTTTGTTTCTTATGATGTCTCTAAATAATGTGTAATAAAGCTTAAATGAATGGAATGACGAACGTTAACATTTTACTGTCTAAAGAAAACTAATTACAACTATAGGAGATTTTATGTAATATAAAACAGCTTGTAAACTTGTATCTATTATCAGCATTTATGGGTTGTTTGTTCTTCAGTTTTGAAAGATCCTTACACTTTTTTCTTATGCCTTTTTTACATTGATAAATTTACAAGTTCAAGTTAACTACAAAGGTGTTAACATTATCATGGAAATATTATCTTCCTCTCAATTTGAACTTAATTTATTGACAGAAATGTTTTCATATAGTTTTAACAAGTTACTGTGAACATGTATCTGTTAGTACAGTGTTGTGGGTGCCAAGTATAGGAAAGTTATAACTAAACAATTATCATTATGTGGAAGTTTCATTCACTATACAATCTTGGCTGAAATAATACTGATGGAAGAAAAAAGCACAAATGACACCTTGATCAGTTAGTTTCGGGTTACTGCTATTCTGTATACTTAACAGTAATTTGTTCTTGTGCTTCAAACTACATGTACAGATTTTTGAAGACTATCCAAAAGTGAAACTTTATATTCAAAAGTAAAGGAATCCATTACAGTGAAACTCTTGTGATCATAACAGATTGTTTATTTTTGTAATATCTTTTGCATCTTGGGACATGAGTTGGCCCTCTGGTAGTATGCTGGATTTTGGAGCTGGCAAGCCTGGTTCACATCCTTGTGATACCACAGAATATTCCCCTCACTTAAACTGTATTTGTGTTCTAAGACTTACAGTTAACCTCTTAGCAAGGATGGTGGTTAGTAGGGTGCTGCTGACTGGCAGCTTATATAGGCTCAGTAGTTTTGCCACAAATTCATACCATGAAGTTTGTATTGAACTAAGTCACTTAATTTGAGAGATCATGATGTGATTGGATAGTCATTCACCTTTTCACATATTGTAAGGGATATTTGAATAAATTTCTTCATTTTTCAAATTGCTATAAAGCACAAGAAAGTATGAGGTGCTCATTTCATAGGTATTGGAATAAATACATAAAGAAAGAGGAACAGTTAGAATAGTTTTTATTTGTTCTCTAATCAATTGACACACATATATACATCCATAATATTTTTAACGTATTTTATGTAAATAACAGTTGTATTTTACTAGCCTGACTCAATATACACCTCAATACGTTTTATTTAAGAAGTTTTTAAAATTCTATAATTACTTAACTTCTTATTATGGTGTTGAGAAAACGTGATTTTTCATTACCATATTTATTTGTAGGTGAATCACTTGCCATTGGTAAAGCCATACTTGCGTTCGGTTCAGAACCTTAATAACAAGGCTATAAATGAAGCCCTGAATGGCCTCTTAATTGAAGAAGAAGATTTCCAGGGCCTCAGAACATCCATTGATGCTTTCGATAACTTTGACAACATTGCACTTGCTCAGCATCTGGAGAAGCATGAACTTATTGAGTTCCGACGCATCGCAGCTTACTTGTACAAAGGCAATAATCGCTGGAAGCAGTCAGTAGAACTTTGCAAAAGAGACAGACTCTTTAAGGTACTTGTTTAGTATTGATAAAAACTTGAAGACTAGAATATAATAGATCAGTCTCTAAAATATGTATTGTGAATGATATATTTAAAACACAAACGATGAAGCTTTTGCAAGTGCTTGTTCATGTTGTTAAGTTTATGAAATACAAAATGAGAATGTAAATATTATTGTATGTAACAAACATGTTGATTAGAGAAAAACTTTTCTTTGTAATGAACTATTAAGGCTGGCATCTAAACCGTTTTTAAGAAATATATATATTTAACCAATAGTGAATTAAAGCAAATTTAGTTTTTTTGCAGAACTAATGAAGCTGTTTTGACCTCTCCTTGTGTATAATATTTTAAAATACCCTAACAAATACTTATTATAGACTTGTGCTTTTTAAACACAAGATAAATAATGCATTTAATGTGCAATGTTAAGCTTTCATTGTGCTTTAAAATAGATAGTAGCTAATACTTAAAGGGGATTATTTGACATAACGTGAATGGCTTGCATTATATTTGTCTTAATTCAGTAAGTGACATTAAGAGCTGAACGTTATTAAATTAAGATAAATTTGTTTATGTAGATATACGTATGTTAAATCTAACATTTTTAATTTTGTTTGCTGTTGTAATACTTGAAACCAATTTCTGTGATTTTTTTCAGTTTATTATCAAAAGCACTGCAAAAATTAGCTTCTTGAAAAAAATTCAGAACAGCTTAGTATTTTCTGAAAACAATTTAATTGCACGTAACATATCCAGTGACACTCAGTTTAATATATGCATTAATATAAAAATGTTTGTGTTAATTGAGAATCATTTTTCATACGTTTGTTTTGATTATTAAATATATTTTTTTTTAGCTTTGTAAACTTATTTTAATTTTTTTTTTTTTACACTCACTAATTACGAGGATGACTAAGTAGGTAATGTGCTGACAAGTAATACTAAGAGTGGCTAGAC